GCCTGGCTCACAGTCTCCGCTCTAATTCATCCCAAAGGTGTTCTATGGGGTTGAGGTCAGGACTCTGTGCAGGCCAGTCAAGTTCCTCCACCCCAAACTGCTCCTCCATGTCTTTATGGACCTTGCTTTGTGCACTGGTGTGCAGTCATGATGGAACAGAAAGGGGCCATCCCCAAACTCTTCCCTCAAAGATGTACAAAATGTCGCCCGAAGCAGTGGTGTATTTTGGTTTTGTGCTGCCCTAGGCCAGACTAAAATCACTAAAATCAGGCACACCCCCCCCCCCCCCCCGCATCTAAATTTGTCCCACCCCTTCCTGTTTAAGATCCACCCCTTCATCTGTAAACCCCACCCCTTCCTATTTAGGCTCCACCTCTTCCTATTAGAGCTCCACCCACTGGCAATGATGGGGCGCTATTCCTACCACTGACATCAACAATGGGGCACTATTCCTCCCACTGACACCAATGATGGGGCACTATTCCTCCCACTGATACCAATGATGGGGCACTATTCCTCCCACTGATACCAATGATGGGGCACTATTCCTCCCACTGACACCAACAATGGGGTACTATTACTTCCACACTGACACCAATGAAGGGCACTATTCCTCCCACTGACACCAATGATGGGGCACAATTCCTCCCACTGATACCAATGATGGGGCACTATTCCTCCCACTGATACCAATGATGGAGCACTATTCCTCCCACTGACACCAATGATGGGGGGCACTATTCCTCCCACTGATACCAATGATGGGGCACTATTCCTCCCACTGATACCAATGATGGGGCACTATTCCTCCCACTGACACCAACAATGGGGTACTATTACTTCTACACTGACACCAATGATGGGGCACTATTCCTCCCACTGACACCGATGGGGCACTATTCCTCCCACTGATACCAATGACGGGGCAGTATTCCACCCACTGATACCAATGATGGGGCACTATTCCTCCCACTGATACCAATGATGGGGCACTATTCCTCCCACTGATTCCATTGATGGGGCACTATTCCTCCCACTGATGCCAATGATGGGGCACTATTCCATCCACTGATACCAATGATGGGGCACTATTCCTCCCACTGATACCAATGATGGGGCACTATTCCACCCACTGATACCAATGATGGGGCACTATTCCTCCCACTGATACCAATGATGGGGCACTATTCCACCCACTGATACCAGTGATGGGGCACTATTCCACCCACTGATACCAATGATGGGGCACTATTCCACCCACTGATACCAATGATGGGGCACTATTCCACCCACTGATACCAGTGATGGGGCACTATTCCACCCACTGATACCAATGATGGGGCACTATTCCTCCCACTGATACCAGTGATGGGGCACTATTCCTCCCACTAATACCAATGATGGGGCACTATTCCTCCCACTGACACCAATGATGGGACACTATTCCACCCACTGATACCAATGATGGGACACTATTCCTCCCACTGATACCAATGATGGGGCACTATTCCTCCCACTAATACCAATGATGGGGCACTATTCCACCCACTGATACCAATGATGGGGCACTATTCCTCCCACTGATACCAGTGATGGGGCACTATTCCACCCACTGATACCAATGATGGGGCACTATTCCTCCCACACTGGCACTAATGATGGGGCACTATTCCTCCCACTGACACCAATCAGAGAGAGAGAGAGGAGGGAGGGGGGTCCTGGGAGACCGAATATAGTGAATGCAGGGTCCGGGGAGACTGGATATAGTGAATGCAGAGTCCGGGGAGACCGAATATATTGAATGCGGGGTCCGGGGAGAGCGGATATAGTGAATGCAGGGTCCGGGGAGAGCGGATATAGTGAATGCAGGGTCCGGGGAGAGCGGATATAGTGAATGCAGAGTCCGGGGAGAGCGGTTATAGTGAATGCGGAGTCCGGGGAGAGCGGATATAGTGAACGCAGGGTCCGGGGAAAGCAGATAGTGAATGCGGGGTCTGGGGAGAGCAGATATAGTGAATGCGGGGTCCGGGGAGAGTAGATATAGTGAATGCGGGGTCTGGGGAAAGGGGATATAGTGAATACGGGGTCCGGGGAGAGCGGATATAGTGAATGCGGGGTCCGGGGAGAGCGGACATAGTGAATGCGGGGTCCGGGGAGAGCGGATATAGTGAATGAGGGGTCCGGGGAGAGTGGATATAGTGAATGCGGGGTCCGGGGAGACCGGATATAGTGAATGCAGGGTCCGGGGAGACCGGATATAGTGAATGCGGAGTCCGGGGAGAGCGGATATAGTGAATGCGGGGTCCGGGAGAGTAGATATAGTAAATGCGGGGTCTGGGGAAAGGGGATATAGTGAATACGGGGTCCGGGGAGAGCGGATATAGTGAATGCGGGGTCCGGGGAGAGCGGACATAGTGAATGCGGGGTCCGGGGAGAGCGGATATAGTGAATGAGGGGTCCGGGGAGAGTGGATATAGTGAATGCGGGGTCCGGGGAGACCGGATATAGTGAATGCAGGGTCCGGGGAGACCGGATATAGTGAATGCGGAGTCCGGGGAGAGCGGATATAGTGAATGCGGGGTCCGGGGAGACCGGATATAGTGAATGCAGGGTCCGGGGAGAGCGGATATAGTGAATTCAGGGTCCGGGGAGACCGGATATAGTGAATGCGGGGGTCCGGGGAGACCGGATATAGTAAATGCGGGGTCCGGGGAGACCGGATATAGTGAATGCGGGGTCCGGGGAGACCGGATATAGGGAATGCAGGGTCCGGGGAGAACGGATATAGTGAATGCTGGGTCTGGGGAGAGCGTATATAGTGAATGCGGGGGTCCGGGGAGAACGGATATAGTGAATGCAGGGTCCGGGGAGATCCGGATATAGTGAATGCAGGGTCTGGGGAGAGCGGATATAGTGAATGCAGGGTCCAGGGTGAGCGGATATAGGGAATGCAGGGTCCGGGGAGACCGGATATAGTGAATGCAGGGTCTGGGGAGATTGGATATAGTGAATGCAGGTTCCAGGGTTTAGTTATACTTTAAAGCTTTGCTGATTTCTATCATCCAATAAAGTGCAAGCAAAAATTTCCTTTGCATCTGATTCTTTACCAATTGAAGCGTTACCGTGTTACATTTACTACGGAAAATGAATGCAACTGCACTTGCAAAGTGCACAGTCTATTTGTCTTTAGTAAATCAACCCCATTGAAACTGCATCAAGTTGCAATGCAAAGTCACACTGGAAATCGCAGAACGTTGAGGTCGCTGCAGTGTGAACGGAGCCTTAGCCTTTAAAATGCTAATTTTACATGACTACATCTTACTGTGGCCTTAGCTTCAATACTTGGAATCATTGAGCTGAACACCTAACATGTGCACAGATAAATGTATGACTTTCCTGGCCGAGGTTCTAGGTTAGTGACTCAGAAAGTACAGTAGCATCTGGCTTAAAATAACAGCCAAAGAACTGGCATTTTCAAAGAAGTCTTCAATGGCAACTCTTATTTTTGTTTTTTTTTTCAAGTTCCCTTTCAATTTCTTCGCTACCGCACTATAGCCGAAAGACGGCTACAGCGCGGTTGTCCAGTCCTGGGGCAATGTCCATGGACGTCATTCCAGAACACGCCCCCCTGAGCGCCCCCAGACACAGATCACGTGATACGGTAAACGGCCAATCACAGCGGCCTTTTACCACGTGAACAGCTGTGTCCAATGACACCGGGTAAATGCAGTTGCCGGGTTATCGGCTGCACTTTCCTCACGTTGTGACAGCCTGAGGAAAGTACAGCCGATAATCGGCAATTGTCAGAGAAGTGATCGGCACTGATCATCAGGGCACTGATGTGCCCTGATAATCAGTGCCCATCAGTGCCGGCCACCTGTGCCCATTGGTGCCGGCCACCTGTACCCATCAGTGCCACCCACCTGTGTCCATAAGTGCCACTTACCTGTGCCCATTAGTGCCGCCCACCTGTACCCATCAGTTTTGCCCACCTGTACTCATCAGTGCCACCCACCTGTGCCCATCAGTGCCACCCACCTGTGCCCATCAGTTTCACCCACCTGTACCCATCAGTGCCAACCACCTGTGCCCATCAGTGCCACCCACCTGTAACCATCAGTTTTGCCCACCTGTACCCATCAGTTTTGCCCACCTGTACCCATCAGTGCCACCCACCTGTACCCATCAGTTTCACCCACCTCTACCCATCAGTGCCACCAACCTGTACCCATCAGTGCCGCCTATCAGTGCCCATCAGTGCTGCCTATCTGTGCCAGCGCAAAAAATACCCCCCACCCAGCGGCGATTAAATACCACCAAAAGAAAGCTCTATTTGTGTGAAGAAAATGATAAAAATTTCATATGAGTACAGTGTTGCATGACCGCGCAACTGTCATTCAAAGTGCCCATCAGTGCCGACCACCTGTACCCATCAGTGCCACCCACCTGTATCCATCAGTGCCACCCTCCTGTGCCCATCAGTGCCACCCTCCTGTGCCCATCAGTGCCACCCACCTGTGCCCATCAGTGCCACCCACCTGTGCCCAGCAGAACCAACTATCAGTGCTGCCCATCAATGCCACCTATCAGTGCCAGCTCATCAGTGATGCCTATCCGTGCCACCTCAACAGTGCCCATCAGTGTTGCCTATCAGTGCCCATCAGTGCTGCCTATCAGTGCCCATCAGTGCTGCCTATCAGTGCAGCCTCTTCAACACACATCAGTGAAGGAGAAAAATTACCTGTTTGCAAAATTTTATAATAGAAACAAAGAAAACATTTTTTTCTAAATTCTTTGCGATTTTTTGCGATTCTTCCCCCAGCGGCGATTAAATGCTACCAAAAGAAAGCTCTATTTGTGTGAAAAAAATGATAATAATTTCATATGGGTACAGTGTTGTATGACCACGCAATTGTCATTCAAAGTGCGACAGCGCTGAAAGCTGAAAATTGGCCCTGGGCAGGAAGGGGGTATAGGTGCCCCGTAGGCGAGGGGTTTAGTCAGGTAACTGTGGCTCTACCCGTGTGTGTCGATAAATGCCGGGTCAGGTAGTGCTTCAGCACAAAACATTTTCCACAGTCCGGGCACTCGTACTGCCTATTGCCACGATGAATCTTCCGATGCGTGATAAGACCTGACTGGTCAGAAAAGCACTTTCCACATTCCGAGCAAGAAAAGGGTTTTTCACCCGTGTGAATCCTCCTATGGGTGATGACGGCTGACCGGCCCCGGAAACACTTGCCGCAGTCCGGGCAAGAAAACGGTTTCTCCCCGGTATGAATAAGCTGGTGGCCCACCAAACTTGTCTTACAATTGAAGCTCTTAGAGCACACAGGGCATGAAAATGGCTTCTCCCCGTTGTGAATGCGCTCATGTCGGATGAGGTGTGAGCGACTTGGGAAACTCTTTCCACACTGGGTGCAAGTGTAAGGCTGGATGCCGGTGTGAACCCGCTTGTGCACAGAGAAGCACGAACGGTCTGAAAAACGTTTCCCGCAGTCCGGGCAAAACGAACGGCTTCTCGCCAGAGTGGATTCTCTGGTGGGTTTCCATATTGGTGTTGCTGGTGAACCTCTTCCCGCACTCCTTACAGATGTGTGGTTTCTCTCGCGTGTGCGTCCTCTGATGTGCCGATAGGACGGAGCTTCTCGCAAAGCTTTTCCCGCACTCGAGGCAAGGGTACGGAGTTTCCCCCGTATGAGTTCGCTGGTGGGTGATCAAAAGTGATCGAGTCTGAAAGCGCTTGCTGCAATCCGAACATTCGAAGGGGCGCTCGCCCGTGTGAACCCGTTTGTGCGTGTAAAGGCCAGAACGATCGGTAAAACATTTCCCGCAGTCGGTACAGGCAAAGGGCTTCTCCCCCGTGTGAATCCTCTCATGTGCAATCACGCCGGATTGGTTGGTGAACCTCTTGCCGCACACAGAACAAGCATAGGGCTTCTCCCCTGTATGAATTCTTTGGTGGGCGATCAGCTCTGATTTGCGGGTGAAACATTTGCCGCAATCACTGCAGGAAAATGGTTTGTCTCCCGTGTGAACCTTCAGGTGAATGTTAAAAAGTGAAATATGGTTGTACGATTTCCCACAGTGTGAACATATAAAGAGCTTAGTTGATATTTTCTGGTCAGGCCAACAAGACCCATCTCTGGGCAACTTCAAACCTACAGTTTCTCCTTGATGACATTCCTGATGGGTCAGTAGATCATCTCCGTTAAAAAAGAGCTTCCGGCACTTCGAATAAGAACATATGAAAAGTTTAGTTGATATTTTCTGGTCAGGCGAAGAAGACCCATCTCTGGGCAGCTTGAAACCTACAATTTCTCCTTGGTGACACTCCTGATGGGTCAGTAGATCATCTCCGTTAAAAAAGAGCTTCCGGCACTTCGAATAAGAACATATGAAAAGTTTAGTTGATATTTTCTGGTCAGGCGAAGAAGACCCATCTCTGGGCAACTTCAAACCTACAGTTTCTTCTTGGTGACATTCCTGATGGGTCAGTAGATCATCTCCATTCACAAAGAGCTTCTGGCACTTGGAATGAGAACACAAAAAGAGGTCTAACTTTTGTTGATCGATCAGACTGTCTACGGTTAGATCAAAGGGTACGTTTGCTTTTTCATGACTCTTCTGGTGAGTCTTAAGACCTGCCTTACTTATAAAGTGCCTCTGGCAATTCGAGTCCGTACATATAAAGAGTTCTGACGACTTCCGATGGTCGCTTGGACCAGACCTATCTATAGGTGGTTTCACATTTGCCCCTTTGTGACTCTCCCGATGATCTAAAAGATCTTCTTCGTTTGAAAAGTGTTTGTGACACTCCAAACAAACGAACCCTCCTTGATTGGTAGCAAAGTCCTGCAAGTATTGAGGAAAAGAACCTGGAACGTTGAAAGTCATCATGTGCCCCGGATCGCCTTCATCAGAGGATGTTTCTTCTTTAATGTGAACGGAGTCAATTTGTGGTGGAGTGTTCAGACTGGTGAAATCTTCCTCATCACCCCAATCTGGCTCTTTTTTAATGAGAACAGAGGTTGGCTGAGCTGCTGTAGATGTAGTCAGGTCTGTGGGACACATCTTGTTGAAAGGGGCTTCCTTTTTAATATGGATTGTTGCCAAGCAATCGTGTCCACCCGTAGATAGTCTTCTCTTAGATAGGTTGTGTTGTGAGACTACATCATTATCTTTACATGGTATCTGGTCCCCTTTATCACTGGTTTGTGTGGTACCATCCTGGCCACCAGAGGTGACCGCATCGTATGCGTTCCCGGTAGTCCATCTGTTCCTTGTACATGGCCACTGGTTATGACCTTCTCTACTTTTGGTGGAGTTGATGTCACTTTTAGCTTCCATCTCTGAAACATGAAATTCCTCCAACGTACTACGAGCTAATGATCCGTAAAACTGGAAAAGCAAGAAAAAACAGTTTTAGGGACACAAAGATGCAAACATTTACCCTGATGTTTCTGCTATTGACTTTTCAACAGATTTGTTTTTGAACTGTATTAGCATCATCATTTGTACAAATTCACTATTGTACAGGCGTACCTCGGTTTACAAATGTAATGCATTCTCAAGGAACCCCCTAGTAACCTTAGGAGGAAACCTGGTTGAGAATCACGGCAATAAAAGTTTTTGACTTTTACCAAGCAGAACTACACGGCATCTGAGCACCCCATATGGAAGAAAATATATTTGAAATATATTTTAAAAATATTCTTCCCAAATATATTGACATATATTTGAAATACTACAATTTTGGCCATATTCAATATATTTCAAAATATATTTCAATAAATATATACTGCTTGTTGAAATGCATCTTTTATATATTACAAAATATATGAAAAATATTTTTAAAAATATATTTTTTTAAATATATTCAGATTTTTTTTACGTATAAAAAAAGTCATTTTACATATATTTGTAAATGCATTCCAAAAATGTAGATTTGTATTTTTAAAGACATACAGTATATTTGAAATTTATTTTTAAAAATATTTTCATATATTTTGTAATAAAAACGCATTTCAACATACAGTATATATTTATTGAAATATATTGAAGATGGCCAAAATTGTACTATTTCAACTATATGTCAATATATTTGGGAAGAATATTTTTAAAATATATTTCAAATATATTTTTCTTCCATATGGGGTGCTCAGATGCCATGTAGTTCTGCTTGGTAGAAGTCAAAAACTTTTATTGCCGTGATTCTCAACCAGATTTCTTTCTAAGGTTACTAGGGGTTCCTTAAGCAGAGCCATGGTGGACTGATCTCCCACCTACACTGACCATCAATACAAGGGGACAGTTTTCCACCGACTACCAATGTAAGGGGTCACATGTACACTGACCATTAATGTTAAAGGGCACCTCAATTTTTCCTGTCTGCCTTTCTTTTCTGCAGTAAATATTTATTTCAACAAACTTAACTAAATCTAATAATAATAAAAGAAAAATAATAATCAGAATAATATTGTAAGGGTGCGCCACATTGGAAGAAAAGAAGAAGAAGAAGAAAGAAAGAAAAGAAAAAAGAAATAAAGAAAGAAAAAGAAAGAAAGAAAGAAAGAAAGAAAGATAAAAGAAAGAAAGAGGGATGAAGAAGAAGAGAGAAGGAAGAAAGAAGAAGATGAAGAGAGAAAGAAAGAAGAAGATGAAGAGAGAAGGAAGAAAGAAATAAGATGAAGAGAGAAGGAAGAAAGAAGACAAAGAGAGAAGGAAGAAAAGAGAAGGAAGAAGAGGGAAGGAGGAAGAAAGAGGGAAGGAGGAAGAAAGAGGGAAGGAGAAGAAGAAAAAGAAACAAGAAGAGAGAAGGAAGAAGAAAGAGAAAAAATGAAGAAGAAGAAAGAAAGAAGAAGAGAGAGAAGAAGATGAAGACAGTAGGAAGAAGACAGAAATAAAGAAGATGAAGAGAGAAGGATGAAGAGGGAAGAAGAAAGGAGAAGAAAAAGAAAGAAGAAGGAGAAAAGAAGAAAGAGGAAGAAAAAGAAAGAAGAAGAAGAAAAAAAAGAAGACGAAGAGAGAAGGAAGAAAAGAAGGAGGAAGGAATAAGAGAGAAGGAATAAGAAGCTAAAAGAAAGAAAGAAGAAGAGAGAAGGAAGAAAAATGGAAGGAGGAAGAAAGAAAATGGAAAGAAAGGAGAGGAAGAAAAAGAGAGAATAAGAAGAATAGAGAAAAAAAGAAAAAAGAAAAAAGAAAGAAAGAAAGAAAGAAAGAAAGAAAAAAAAAATAAAAAAAAAAATAAAGAGAATAAAAGAAATAAAAAATGAAGAGAGAAGGAAGAAGAAGAAAAATAAAGGAGAAGAATGAAGAAAATGAAGAGAGATGGAAGAAGAAAAAAAATAAAGGAGAGAATGAAGAAAATAAAGAGAGAAGGAAGAAGAAAAAAATAAAGAAGGAGAGAATGAAGAAAATGAAGAGAGAAGGAAGAAGATAAAAAAGAGAAAATGAAGAGAGAAGGAAGAAGAAGAAAAAGAGAAAATGAAGAGAGAAGGAAGAAGAAGAAGAAAAAAGGAAAATGAAGAGAGAAGGAAGAAGAAGAAAGAAAGAAGTGAAAAAGAAGAAGATGAAGATAGAAGGAAGAAGAAAGAAACCAAGAAGATGAGGAGAGAAGGAAGAAGAAAGGAGAAGATAAATAAAGAAGGAAGAAGGAAAAAAAATGAAGAGAGAAGGAAGAAGACATAGAGAGATAAAAAAAAAAAATAATAAAAAAAAAAATTATATTATTATTATTCAAGAAATAACTACAAAATAAAATTTTAAAAAAAAAAATATAAATTAAAAAAAAAAAATTCACTTCAAGAGTAGCTGATCTCCAGAAAAAAGTAAAAAAATATGTCAAAATAAAAAACTACTAATAAGAAAAAAAAAAAAAAAAACAAAACTAAAAAAAAGCTGGACATGATAAATATGTATAGTTTTGACAGGACAATATAAAATAAAAAAGTAAAATATAATATTGTGAGAATACATATTGATATTAAAAATAAAGTGTAATAAGATATTATAATATAATGAGGTATGATAATAAATATTATGAAAAATGTATATTAAAAAAAAAAAATAAAATAGCTAATTATAATATTAATAAAAAATAATAAAAAAAAAAAATTATATAGTAATAAAAAATTAAAAAAGAGTAATTGAAAAAATGAAAAGCTGATCTCCATAATAAGAACATTAAAAATAAAAATAAGACTAAAAAAAAATTAAATAAAATCAAAAACACCAATTTTTAAAAATATAAAAAAAAAAAAAAGGTATAAGAATGTATATGTGCTTATATATGCATGTACTATAAAAAAAATCCTCAAATTTTTAAAACTTTCTGGCAAAATATCTGAAAAAAATAATTAGTAATATTAAAAACCCTAAACTGCTAAAAAAAAGATGCAAATTGTAAGTTATTAATGATATAAAATGTGTTGGTATAATATAATGTGATATTATAAAAAATATGTAAAATATAAAATGCAATAAAATAAATAATAAAATAAAATTCATAAAGAGCATTTAGGATTTTTTAACTCTTTAATTTTTTTTAAAATATATACTGGTATAAATATAAAATTATAAAAATTGATTTATTATTATATATTATTATTATATAATTCGAATTATTATTATATAATAAATATTATGCTATTGATAACTAGCAAAAATAAAAAAATAAAATATAAAAAATAATAAATATGTAATTAAAAAATAATTTAAAATTAAATTAATTTTAATAAATATAATGAATATAATAGTAATAAGTATTTGTTTCCTCTAGTATGCCAAATTTATTGTAACTGTAATGTCTAAAAATATTTTATAAAGCGCTGTTAAAAAAATATTTATATAAAAATGAATAATAATAAATTATAAAAATACGGGGGTAAAAAAAAAGTAAAAATTTAATTTTTTTAAATAAATATTGTTAAAAAATTTAAAAAATTTTTATTTATTTTAAATATAAATAATTATTTTTAAAATTTTATAAATTTTTTTAAATAATTTTATATTTTATTTTATTAAAGGGTTTTTTAAAAAAAAAATTTTTTTTTTTTAAAAATAATATTAAAAAGTTTAAAAAAAATTAAAAAACCTTTTTATTTTTTTTATTTTATTATTAATTTTTTCATTTTGTAAAGCGCTTTAAATTTTTTTTATTTATAAATATTATAAATTTTTTTTGCATATATTATTTAATTTAAAATATTAAAAAATAGTAATATAAAATTATTATTTATTTTAATAAAATATGTATATATTAAATATTATTTATATTTAATAAAAATTATAAATATATAATAATTAAATATAAAATTTTAAAAAAAAAATTATTATAAAAATTAAAAAATATATATAAATAATAAAAAATTATATATTTATAATTTTTATAATTTTAAATTAAATTGAAAAATTTATAATTTATATTATATTGTAAATATAAATACAATTTATATATAAATATTAATTAATAATTATAAAAAAAAAAATATAATATTTTTAATATAATTTAAAAAAATAAAATAATTTTAATTAAAAAATATTTTTATTTATAAAATATAATATAATTTATAAATAAAAATAAAATAAATTAAAAAAAAATAATATTTATATAATAAATTAAATAAAAATATTTAAAATATAATATATAAAATAATATATATTTAAAATAATTATTTTTTTATAAAATAATAAAAAAAAAAAAAATATAAATTTAATATAAAATAAATTATAAAAAAAAAAAAAAATAAAATAAAATAAAAAATAAAATTAATAATAAAAAAATAATATATTTAAAAAAATATAAATAAATATTAAAAAAAAATTAAAATAAAAAAAAATAAAAATAAATAATAATTATAAAATATATTATAAAAAAATAAAAATTATTATTTTTT